CCGCAGCCGCCGCCGCAGCGCCTGCCAGTAAGAGCGCTCCCGCACCGCGGCCCAGCCCGACCCCGCCTCGACCCCGCAGCCGCGGGCCTGACCCGGAGCCCGGCCCGACACCAGCCGCCTGCACAGCACCGCCGCCATCCCGGCGGATGTGACGTGGAGGCTGGAGGGGCGCTGGGGGCGGGGAGGGCGAGGACTGGCGCCCCCTGCCGGCGGGGAGGAGCGACGGCTCCGCGGCTTCAAACGGGAAAGACACGGCGGGGACCGGGCGTCCACGCGGGTGGCACGGCTTTATTGCTGCAGGCACGGCCCGGCCCCACCGAGGGGACGCGTGGGGACCCCTGTGCCCGCAGAACAAGTGTTCCCCCCCCGCAGCACGGCTCTCCCCTCTCCACAGCCCCCGGGTCACGATGCAGGATGCTCCCCTCCGTGCCCGCTCTCATCCAGCAGCACAGCCCCCAGTGCAGGGTCCGCGGGCTCGTCTCGGCCCTGCTCTAGCAGGGGCCCCCCTGGCCCAGTCTCCTCTGTCTGCGTGCGATGCAGTGCGAGCACAGGGCTTTGTGGGGATGGCTCTTCCTCACTGGGCGGCAGCTCTGCCTCCTGTGTTGGCAGGACAGGGGCCAGCAGCTCCCTGAAAGCGTTCACATCAATGCAGCCCAGGTGGCTGTAGCGCTGCAGATGGGCCGGGGGGATACCTATGGGACACAGAGACGGGTGGGCACAGCCCTCCAGCGCAGTGCAGCTAACACTGCATCCCATGGTGACAACAGCATCTCCCACTTTATTCCTCCCCACAGTGGAGTCTTACCCAGCACCTGTGCGATCTGAGCCGGGGGGAAGAGAACCTGGAGGCAGCGATTCAGGTAAGGAAGCAGATCCTCCAGGAATGCTGTGCAGAACTGGACAAAGAGCTCCTGCTCGCGCCCGCTGAATGCCGCCTCCTCTGCCCGGTGGAAGGCCAGGATTATTTTGGTCACCTGGGGCAGAGAACAGAGTCATTAATTTCCAGATCACAATCCCCAGGCAAACCCAAGGGCCTGGAGAACCTGACACATGAAACAGCCACTTCCCTTTCATAGCACCAGGCCCAAGGCAGCATTTTGGGCACAGAAACCATCCTTATTTGCAGCTGTTCTGTTTCTCCTACAAAGCAGGAGCCCAAGTGCAGCCCCAGCACCTCACCTTGCCAAGGGCATCCTTCAGGCAGGCAGCCACATCCTGTGCCAGGGCGATGGGGCAGCAGAGCCGCAGGTCGTTGAAGGCAACAAGGAGGCCATTGAGGAAGCAGGCAAGGGGCGGAAAGTCCAGCAGCACCATGGGTGGCTGCAGTGTCCCTGGCTGGGCTGAGGGCACCGGCACCGCTGCAGCACTGCCCAGCACAGCTGGGGCAGAGATGAGCGTGTAGGAATTCATCTCCTCCTGGAACTTCTCCACCGCCTCATCCACTGCCTTGCTGAAGGTGGTGGCAGCGACACGCTGGAAGATGGGGGCCAGCTGCCCACGGAAATCAGCCCCCACCCTACTAAAGGAGAGGCCAAAGTACATGCACTGCCCCAGCAGCGAGTCCAAGCGGCCACCCACCCCTCGCTGCAGGTCGCGCTCCAGCACCTGCAGGAACTCAGAGACCTTCTGCAGCACCCAACCATGGAAGATGGCCCCCTCGTTGAGGGAGGGCTGCTCGGGGGCCAGGAGCGGCTCCTCATCAGAGAAGATGGCACGGTACTGCGTGATGATGTCAAAGAGGTGGACACGGCAGGCCTCGACTGTCTTGGTGAGGTGGAAGTAGGGGTCATCCTCGGGGATGGAGGCCTGGATGGAGCGCAGCCAGGCGTCCCGTGCCTGCAGGAACTTGATGCGCAACTCGGCCTCTGTGAAGACATCCATGCGCCGCAGATAGCCAATGACCCGCAGGCAAGTGGGCAGAGGGATGTTGGTGCGGAGCTGCTGGATGAGCTCGTTCAGCATCAGCTGAGTGGACTGCCGCACCTCGGCCACAATTCCCTGTGAGGAGAGAGCCTCAGTGGGCTGAGGCCAACTGCACGAGCCTCAACAAGAACAAGGTCCCACAGTTCGGGGTCACAACACCCCATGCATCAAGAAACATAGAGCTGTGGCATTTGGGTCTAAGCAAGCATGGCAGGGTGGGTTGACAGTTAGACTCGGTGATCACAGATCTTTTCTGACCTTAATGACCTTTATGACCTTTGACTGTGGGACAGCCGTGCAGCAGGGGCAGCATGGCCCTACCTGGATGACGGGTATGCTGCTGTACTTCTTCTCCAGCCGGCGCACGTAGGCCGCCAGCTCCAGCGCCTCCTCATAGTAGCGGTTACGCACACAGGTGTCCATAAGCTGCGGGATCTCCAGGATCTCTAGGATCTCTGTGTGCCGGTTCAGTGTCAGGCTGTTCATCCGCCGGCTGCAGGCAATGGCCTCAGCATCACGCATGAAGTTCCTGCGGGGCCAGGAAAGATCAGCATTGAGCGGGTGGAGGGGGACACCCTGGGACCTCCTTAGCTACTCTCCTGCTCTGCTACTGACCCCGATCCCAACACCGAGCTGGCACTGGCCCCGGGGCACCAACTGCCCCCAGCCTCACCCACCTCCAGTCCTTCCCGTGTCTTGTCAGCTCTGTCCCCAGCGCCCCCGAGCCTGGCCCATCCCGCTCACCGGCAGGCATCCTGCAGGGCGGGCAGGCGCTCCAGCAGGCTGCTCAGACGGCTCTCGATGCCACCGAAGCCGCGGCCGGCGCGCCCGGTGCACTCCGCGGAGCGAATGAAGGCGCGGTAGTGCTCGAAGGCCAAGCGCCGCGTCTCAGCCCCGACCCGCTCCCGCTCCGCCGCCAGCCGCGCCGGCTCCCGGCCCAGCTCCGCCAGCCCCAGCGCCGCCAGCTCGGCCACATAAGCGGCGAGCTCAGCGCCGCCGGGTCCCGCCACAGCCGGTCCGCGCAGCCAGGCCAGCAGCCGCTCCTCCTCCGCCGCCATCGCAGTCGCTCCGCCGGCACGGGCCCACGCCACTTCCGGCCCCGGCGCAGGCACTTCCGGCGCAGTACCGCCACTTCCGCTTCCGGCGCTGCAGCGCGTGTGGGGAGTGCGGCTATGCGGCCGCTGACGGAGGCGGAGACGCGGGCGGTGTTCGAGAAGCTCGGGAGATAGTGAGCGGCTGGGAGTGCGGGAGCTGCGCGGGGGAGCGGTGGGACCGACGGGGGAACGAGGGCCCGGGGCTGCAGCGGAGGCGCGGCACGTGCCGTGTGTGGGAACGGCGGGGCTGACGGGGAATGGATGGGGCGAAAGACGGGTGCAGGCAGTGGTGGCACAAGGGGAGCCGAGGGGATCGCAGCGTGATCGGGTTGGAACGGACCTCCTGCTCCTCCCCTGCCGCCGGGTGCCCCCCAGTTCGGGCTGCCGGGAGTCCACCCACGGCCCCGGACACCTCCAGGGATGGGCACCACCCGTCTTGGGCTGTTGATGCAGCCCAAGATACTGTTGGTTCTCCGGGCTGCAAGTGCACGCCGCTGGCTTGTGTTAAGCACTCCGTCTACCAGGACCCCCAGGTCCTTCTATGCAGGGCTGCTTTCTACACATTTTTTCCCTCACTCTATGTATGTATCTGGGATGGCCCCAACCCAAGTGCAACACCTTGCATTTGGCCTTGATGAACCTCATGAGGTGTGAAAGAGAGAGATGGGTCAGAAGGAGCCAGGAGGACCAGAGGACTCTGGGAGAACACCAGGGATGGATCTGATGTAGCTTTTCCCTGCAGCATTGGCGAGAACATCCAGTTGCTGGTGGACCGGCCCGATGGCACCTACTGCTTCCGTCTGCACCGTGACCGTGTCTACTATGTGAGGTGAGCTGGGGTTGGGGCTGTGGGACCCAGGGTGAGCCCATGCAGCCCTCCCAGCCTGCAGCCTCTCCATCCATCTCCCCACAGTGAGAAGCTGCTGAAGGGTGCTGCAAGCATCCCACGGGACAGCCTGGTGGCACTGGGCACCTGCTTTGGCAAGTTCACCAAGACACAGAAGTTCCGGCTCAGCGTCACTGCCCTGGACTTCCTTGCACCTTATGCCAAGGTGGGATGTTTCCCACCCCTCCAGCACCTGCTTGTTCCCAGTGCCACCCTTTTGGCAGCTCACCGACTCCTGCCTCTCTCTTAGTATAAAGTGTGGGTGAAGCCAGGCTCAGAGCAGTCCTTCCTCTATGGCAACCATGTGCTGAAGTCTGGCCTGGGCCGCATCACGGAGAACACAGCACAGTACCAGGGCGTGGTGGTGTACTCCATGGCTGACATCCCACTGGTGAGTGGCCTCCCCAACACTTCCCACTCTAAGGGAATGGGTACTGGGCTGCAAAACACTCCCTCTCCCTTCTTCCCCAGGGGTTTGGAGTAGCTGCAAAATCCACCCAGGACTGCCGGAAGGTGGATCCCATGGCCATTGTGGTGTTTCACCAGGCGGATGTTGGGGAGTACGTGCGCAGTGAGGACACACTGACTTAGGGCAGCACAAATGCTCAGGAGCCACAAGCACGCCTGGGCAGAATGGACTTGTCCTGCATCATGCATGGTAGCAGCACACGGAGCTGCAGGGAGCACACTCCAAGGAGAGAGCAGGAGCTGGGAGCAGTTTCTGCTGCTGGGAGCACAAGAAGGCACCAGCTGTGCTGTTGTGATTGTATAAAGCCTGTTCCTTCTTTTTAACTGCCTCTTGTCTCATGCAACACCTTAGGGCGTCAGTCCTGTGGCCTGGCTACACATTTGGGAGCCTGGGATTGGTGCAGCAGGCAGCAATACACAGGAGGGAGGCAGGAAGACAGCAGATAGCTGCCTGCAGGGCTGCTGTCATCCCATCCAGGCAGGCACAAGAATGATGGGTACCATCCATGGGTATTTCATAAAATGGGGTTCTAGCCAAAAGGGGCAGATTGAAACACTAAAAGCTGGCAAAGACACACTAACACAAAATCGAGGTTTTTGTATTTTTTTCCTAAAGGTAATTTCAGTTAAAAGTGGGAGGTGAGTGAGCTCTGCTTCCAGCTACACCACCCCCTCCCCAGGGCAGGACCTGGGTTTTCTCCTCCTGCTCTGTGGAAAGCAGTGGGGCTGATGCAGAGGAGCAGGCAAGCCCCTCAGTCACTGCTGTGGGTGAGTGCAGGTGGGGCTCTGCTCCTGTGGGCTGTGCTGTGTCAGGGAGCTGTCAGCACCTCGGCTTCCCAGAGCTCTGCACGTTGAAGAGACGCTTCAAGAAGTAAAGCTGCAGGACCCCAGAGAGGACAATGAGGCAGCTCTGAGCCATCGACCACCAGTTGACGTAGTGGTAGTTGGACTCGAGGAGGAAGGAGTCGGCCCTTTTCCTCATCCGGGCAAAGTTGTAGAACCTCCACATGTGGAAAATGCGGATGTACAGTTTCTGAATGCTGTCCTGCAGACATAACCCAGGAGGAGAAGAGAATGGTGCTTACCAGCCGTGCTCAGGCAGGTTGTGCTGCTGAGGAGCTGGCAGAGCACTGGCAGAACCCTTGCAGGAACATCCAGTGAGCCACCAGCTTGGTTCAACACCAAGTTAGGCAGCAGCACATCAAGCAGGGACAAATGTCCTTCCTTGGTCCCTGAGGAGGAACTTGCCCATCCCTGCCACGGGGTGCTGCTGGAGGCCACACTGTTGCATTCAGTTCTGGCCTATTTGCATCAGCCTGACCCGTGCGCTGCTTTGAAGCACTCTGTGGCAGAAGCAGCACTTACCTCAATGGCATCCAACGTGTCATTCAGCTGTTTCCTCTCTTCTGTCTGCTCCTTTTCCATGTTGAAGCCATCATAGTAGACACCAAAGTTGAGATACACCTGCATAAAGCCAAAGTGATTTTGCCCATTGTCCAGGCAGAGCTGATAGAAACCTGCAGAGAGAAGTGGAGGTTTTTGTTCCCTAAGCTGGCAGCGCTGCTTCGAGCACTTAATGCTGATGTGTGCTGGCAGGGAGGGCACCATGACCACACAACACACATCAGCACTATGGGGACCCACAGAGCCCACCCAGCCCCAGGGGACACGGGCAGCAGGGACCTGTCTCCTTGGTCAGGAAGTTGATCTGTCCTCGCACATCCTGGGAGGTGCCGAGCTGGAAGCCATTGGGGTCTTTTGCTGTGGCCAGGATGTGCCTGCTGTTGGCAATGCCTGTCGCCCGCTGCACCTGGAGGTGGGAGACACCCATCAGCAGGGCTGGGACGCTGCCCAAAGGGGACACCTGTCCTTAGGGAGGCATCACCTAAGGGTCTTTTGTGCCCCATTCTTGGGAAAACAGGAGTCCAGCAAGTTTCCTTCTGCTTGGTCGTGAGCAGGAGCTGAGGGTGCTGGCTGCACTCAAGCATTAAATGCCTCCTGCCACTGCCAGCTACACATGAAAGGAAAACAAAACCCACAGCCTTGAGAAGGGTCACCTCTCAGTTCTTTGTCCTTGCCCATGGTGCTGCTGGCACTCACAGAGAGGTAGAGGACCGGGTTGGGTCACTATCAGGGGTCCCCAGAGGGGAGAGCAGGCTCCAAGCATGTTCTCAGCCCTGCAGAGCAGCTCCCAGCTGTCTGCTGGCTTTGGGGCTGAGCAAGAGCATGTTTGGGGTCAGCTGGGCTTGTGCTACGTGCTGGGGCTGTTCCCATACGAGCACTGTGTGGCTGCTCTGCCAAGCACGAGGTGGTGGCAGCTGTGTCCCCACGCTCCTTCAGCCAGCAGTGTAAACAGGAGATTAAAGGGCTCCGGTCCCCCTCGTGGGAAGGGGACTGAGCGCAGGGACAAACTGATACGGCTGCACCTGAGACCTTCAGCACTCCTCCCAGCCACAGCTCAGAGGGAAGCTGAGGTCCTGCGATGGCCTCCAGCCAGCCCAGCACTCCTGCAGTGCTGAGCTTGCCCCAGCGAGCTCCATCTGGGTACAGGGCCACCACAGCCAGAGCACCCTGCACCTCCTCACTCTGAACATACTCCTCCTTTTCAGCGCGTTTGAAAATAGCTGATGGGATTGATGATGAGAAGGCAAACTGCCTTAAAAAAAAAAAAAAAAAAACGCCAAGGCCCAGGACCAAGGAATGGAGGTACCTCAACCCATCCCCGGGTACACCAAAGGATGTTCCCCCCCCCTCCACCCCGAGGACAGCTAGGCAGCCATTCCCCCAAACCCATTGGCAGAAGCACCAGCTCACAGCAGGATGGGTCCCACAGCACTCACCTCAAAGCTGAAGAAGAAATTGCCACTCTGGTGTGCGAACTGCCAGAAGCACTCAGTGGTGCCAGCATGGACGACGATGGCAAAGTCATAGCGGTCAGCACCGCGGAACAGGGGCTCATCGCTGCTCCCGCTCAGGGGCTCAGTCCTGGGGCACCCAGCAGGACCTGGCAGCCCCAGCACCAGGAGCACCAGCAGCAGCATGCTGCTTCCAGCTGGGCAGCAGCACAGAGCTGAGGCAGCGGCGTTATCAATCATTAACTGTGCTGCTGCACGGTGTTGCTTGGCAGGAGCCGGCTCCACTCAAGGTGATATTGGTGCATGGCCAGACTTGGTCTCTTTGTTCATGTTCCCATCCACCCAAACCCCTCTGCTAAGGGCCAAGGCTGCTGCAAAGTGCCACAATCACCAGCAGCATCTCCTGTCTGCACAGCACTGGTCCAGGTCCCAGGCAGACTCACTCTGCTTGCAGACAAATGATGCCAGTACTTGTGAGCAAAGCAATTAATTACACTGGTGATTCCTGCCCCACTGCATGATTCTCACCAAGTCCAGAACTGGCCCCTGCAAGCTCAGAGTGCTCCCATCTACCTGCAGCTGTTCCAGCACAAGTAGTGTTACAGCAGCAGAGGGAAATGCACAGCCACAAGCAGGTGGCAGGGGAAGCTCGTTCCATCAGTGCTGAAGGGCAGAGGGGAAAGCAGGTGTTTCCAAACAGTCTGCTACCCAGCACTAACTCTACAGCTGCTTCAGTGAGCCCAGAGCATCGATCAAAAAGGAAACAAAACCTCTTCCAAAAAAATAAACTGGAGAAGTGAACAGATCAGAGGGTGGAAGTACATGCTATTCCAGCAACCCTCCAGATCCAACCCCACAGTGTTGGTGTAGGGTACCTCTGCACACTGCCTAGCTGTTGTGCATTGGCTCACAGCACACACGAAGCCCCCAGCTGTAAGTCCAGAGGCTACAGAACAACTGAAAAAAGCAAGAAGCCTGGCTGGGCTTCCCATTATTTCTAGGGTTTCTACAGCAGTTACTCTCACCCCACAGCTTATAGGAAATGCCCCTTTGGCTTCAGAGCCATGAGACTTCAGTGCCTGTGAGGAGGCACTTCACACCTTCAGAGCACCCCTGTTCCACCCCCCCCCCCCCCCCCTGCTGCTGACATCCCAGCAGGCTCAGGCAGCAAACAAATTGGTCACCACACAGCCAGCGCTCCAAACTGCCTCACTGCTATCAAAGAGGCACAAATTCACATATTGCAACTCTTGAAACGCATCAGCAAAGAACTTTATTTTATAGAAGACACCACTCAGTCATTTGAAGGCAAGAAACAGTGCCCTCAGGGTTCACATGCTTGCAGATTGCATACAGGATGCTGTTACCAGGAAGGAGACAATGTCACAATCAACATCATTAAGCACTAGATTGTTTAACATGGGACCAATTTTTACTAAAAAAACAAACAAACAAAAAAAAAACCCCAAAAAACAGTTGCTTAAGTTTCAGAAGGGAGGGAAAGTCCCACCTGCAGGCTAGAAAAATACTTCTGGGAGAAAAACTGCCTTAGCTAAAGCTCTTCCCAGAAACTGTGGGACTGTGTTGCCTCTCCAAAGGAGAGAGTACAAATAGACGAAACAAAACTCGAATAGTTTAGACAAGTTAAACATAAAAACAGCCACTGACAGTTATGCAGATATTGTCAAATGGCAGAACAGAAGACATCTCAGCAGCCCACCAGGTTGGCTGCAGTTG